GCGATATTGGAGCGAGAGCCGAGGGTGGCGCGAAGGGTGGCGTGGCGGGGAACATTTAACTGCAATGGCATAAAGTGGCGCAGCGACTGTCGGAAGGAGGTTTCTCGCCGTCCGCGCATCGACAAGCCGCTGGTCAGCTTACACGGCAGAGGGAAGGGCATTTCGACGGGTCGCCGTTTTACGAGCCAGCTACTATACGGCGGTGGTGTGCGGCAGGTGTCAGAGGCAGCCGACGTCGAGGTATCGCCAGCAGCAGCAGCAGGGTGGTGATGGGGGCGTGGAGGAGCAGCGCAGAGCGCACGTCACCGTGATGGTCTGCACGGGGGGCGCGCACTGGTGCCGAACTGCCCCGTTGGCCGGGCCCCGGCCGGACGCGCCGGCTGGTCAGGCCCAGGCCTCGTGATAAAAAGCCGAGCACCAGGAGGGGCCGGCCGAGAAAGAGAGGAATGCACATGGATGGGTTTATACCCCCCCCCCCCCCAACTCCCTCGCGCCAGTGACACGGCGCGGCCAGCGAGGCGCACACTTAAGCGTAATTTTATGGCCTGGATAAAAGATGTCGGGAGTATTTACTTTGGGAGCGTTTAAGGGAGACGGTTCTCACTGAGCCTCTCCTCCCCTACGTATGTGTTACTGTGTGTGTGCGTGTGCTGTTTCGTGCTGTGCGGTTGTGAGTGAGCTGCAAACCCCCCGCGAGCGCAAATACACTTTCCGCCTTTACCATATTGAGATGAGAGGCGGTGCAAGCAAGTCAACCTGAAGGCGGGATCCCGAGGACAACTCCAAAGGCAAACCTTAGAGAGCAGAGGCTGGAGCTGGGGCAGAGCCTGTAGCAGCGCCTGGACCAGAGGCTGGAGCAGAGGCTGGACCGCAGCGGCCGCCGCCCAGCGGTGCGCATCCGTTTGCCACTTTATGGCGCTCCCTAGCCGCCCTGCTAGCCGCGCACGCAGTCAACACGTTCACATTCACATTCCCGGCGATTAGCGCAGCGAGCTGGGCGCAGGTTCAATCCAGAGCCGCGGGCAATTAAATCGGAGCGAAAGAGAGTTGAGCCTGAAACCAGGACTCGACACCGAGGCGGCAGTGCTGGCTGAGGCGGGGGCAGGCGGGGGTAAGCGGGCGCAAGCCTTACGCCTAATTCCTGGCGACTCTCTTTCTCTCCCTCCCCCTTCCTTTGGCCCGCCATACATCAGCTCACTGCTGTTCCCAAACCCCCGTATAAGACTATTTGTCACGGACGAAAATATAACCCCGCGTGCAGCCGTCTTTCTCTCTCTCCACCCCTCCCTCCCTCTCACCTTATCCGTCCACGCCTCGCCAAACGAAATCCGCTGCTGCTGGCCCCTGACACACACCGGGGAGACACCGACCGGCTGGCGACCCACCCTGACAAATGAGAGCAAAGAGCAAACTCACTCTCTCTCTCACACACACGACCAAGGCGAGGGGCGATGGGTTCTTATTTGCTCTGCCCAAGAAGTGAGTAAAGACACGGGACCACCTTTAGGGAGTGCTGTACAGTATTACACCGGGCAGTATCCTGCTTATGAGAGAGGGACAGAGTGAGAGAGAAGAGAGAGGGAGGGAGAGAGAGCGGCAGGCGCCTGGTCCGTTTATGGAGCCCTTTGCAGAGGGGGTGTTCCGTCATTATCAACGCTTTATTGTGAGCCTTATCGCACGGGCCTTCCCTTGCTGCATCTCTCTCTCTCTCTCTCTCTCTCTCTCTCTCTCTCTCTCTCTCTCTCTCTCTCTCTCTCTCTCTCTCCCCCCCTTGCTGCCGCTACCCCAGCCCAGCGTTACCGTTGTCTAAATGACTCCCGTATACCGCCGCGCCGAGCCCCGATCGCGCGCTCTGTGCGTGGAGAAGGGGAGGGGAGAGTGGAGGGGACAAACGACGGGGCAGGAGCAAACTACTATTGACGTGGAAAACCATCATATCCGCTCAGTCCGCACCGTGCCATAACAAGAGAGAACACACACACACACACACACACACACGCGCGCGCGCGCGCGCGCGCGCGCGGCGATCATCAGCACGCGCCACGTTTCGCACATATTCGCTTTGTAATTATTGCGCCACGGCTGCGCGCAACATAATTCGATTACGCGCGCCCACGCCAGTCATTCCCTCGTTCCCCCCCAAATCGCGAGGCTTCCGAAACACCGAGGGGGGGAAGGGGGGGGGCGGTATACAGCAATAGCGCCCGCTCGCTCGCCCGTTTACTCCGCTCCCAATAAAAATTGATGAGAAATCGAGCTAGATCCTCTATACTCGTGTGCGCACCCGGAGCCTGGTCCAGTCCCTGCCGCTGACAGCCCCCAACACACCAGTCCATTAGCTAGGGGCGTAACTGTGCTGTACACGCGCCCCACCGTCCCTCCCTCTCTCTTTCATTTTTCTTCCTTTTTCGACGCGCGCGTGTGTGTGTGTGTGTTCCCTCTCTCGTTATTTTTCGCTCCTTTTCTCCCTACAAACCTGTTCCCCCTTCGCGCCTGCTGCCCTTCCGAAAGCTTCCCCAACCGGAGCCAAACTTTTCTCGACGCCGACTGCCCTAAGTGTTTCTGTGTCACCTCGAGCAGAGCAGCCGCGCCGCCTGCTGGAGCACTGGGCCGAGAGGGAGCGGGAGAGAGAGAGAGAGAGAGAGAGAGAGAGGGGGGGGGGGGGGGGGCGTTCGTCGCGCTGCTGCCCTTCCGCCCCATCGCCTCCGCGGGTCTGTTTGCGATACTTACTTTGCATCGGATTGGCAGACAAGACGAGGGACTGACTGCTCTTTGTTCAACGCGGCGCGCGGCGCGGCAGAGCGGATGCCCAATTTGTCCTCCTTGCGGGACAAGTTGAAAGGGAAGGGAGGGAGGGAAGGGAGGGAGGGAGAGTCGGTGTGTGTGTGAAGGAGAGAGAAGACAAAAATGAAGACCGCACAGGCAGCTCTCAAATAACCGTTTAATTACAGGAGAGCACAAGCAGCTCTCTCTCTCTCTCTCTCTCTCTCTCTCTCTCTCTCTCTCTCTCCTCTCTCTCTCTCCCTCCCTCCGCTGGGCGCCCCCTGTGAACTTTTTCACTCTGTCGACGCGGCCGGCGGGTCCGTTCGGGCACGGGCCCCTTCAGCTCAGCAGTATGGTTCTGCCCCGATTCCATCGTGAAGATAAGCTGGGCGTGGCCGAGTGGCCGGCCGTTCGGTCAGCTCGGCGGCGGTATATCGCGGGCTGGTATCGAAACACTCCCCGCCCCGCCACGCCCCGCCGCGATCGACGGCCACCGAATTACGCATCGCTTGCTGATCCCAGGAACTCGACGGCATAAGCAAAGCGAGAGCCACAAGAAAATGACGATCAACACACACGCCACAAAAAAAAGGTCACGTTTTCAGTTAAACAGGGCGGAAATGACACGCCGTGCTCCGCTGCTGGGCGCGCACCGGACACATGTGAGGGGCCGCGGGCGCTCATTAGACCCCCATCGCCCCGCCCACAAGCCCAATCAAAGCTCGTCTCTGCACGGCTGCTGCTGCCAGAGCGCTAAACCCAGGCGAGTAATAATAATAAAAAAAAAAAACAGATATGGATGCGGGTAAATAATAAATTATTTTTATACACAAAAACAAAAAAAATTAAAAAAATCACAAAGCAAATAACGCGCGCAGACAGCCGTGATGGGCGGCGCGCGGGCACGTCCATCTCGCACGTTATTTTTAAGGGGACTCCCCTCATTTGTTGATTCCCCTTCCTCCTCTCGCGTACGTGCGCCTCGTTCCTCGAACCATTTATCCTCATCTGTCATCACCTGCTATGCATCCGCGGGCCAGCCAGCGGGCGAGCGGAGCTGCCCCCCATCCTCCAGCCGCTGCTGCGCGAACACTCACTAAATACCAAAGACCAAAAAGCTATCAATTTGAAACAAATGACTGGCGGGAATAAATAATCCGCGTCTGCGGTGCTATCGTGATTTATAAACGTTAATATTTAGGCCCCGTTTCTTTTGTTTACCCGACGGCGGCGCGCGCGAATCCGTAATTGGCTCAAACGGCGAATCAAAAAAATAATAACGATGAAAAAGAGGGATAAAGAAAAGGAAATTCGAGTTGGCTGAGGCCATCCGCCTCCTCCCCGGGCTGCGCCGGGATCCCGCGGGGCGAATATCTCAGTTGCCCGGTGCGATACGACGTGCTGACGGCGCGGCGCCGGGATCGTTAGCACCTCCGATAGGGGGACCGAAACGCGATTATTAATATTATTTATCGGCCGCCGCTGCTGACGAGGAGGAGGAGGAGGAGGAGGAGGAGGAGGAGGAGGAGGAGGAGGAGGAGGAGGAGGAGGCAGCTGAGGGTAACGAGTCCACAGGAGCCCCGCAGGGGGACGCGCCCCGCCCGCCCCCCGGCGCCACACGGCGCCCCCGCAGCCCCACCAACCCTCCAGGCTTCACGCTTCGTTAGGCACCGGGGGCGTCCCGGCGTCCCCCACCGCCGCGTACCCACGGAGCGCGCGCGGGTTGCGCTTCCACGCGCGCAGGACTCAGACAGACACACTAACAGACACAGACACACTGACGGACGCACAGACAAGGCGCGCAACGTGACGCACCGAGCGGAAGCCAAGCGCCGCCCGACTGGCGAGCCCGGCCCGCCTGACGGTGGTGGAGGTGGTATGATTGGCTCCAATTGATTCGGAAATACGATACTAGAACGTGAGAGTGATTAATTACCAGGCCTCGTGGGGCATGGCGTGGGCATGGCGTGGGCGGAGCCCTAGAGAGTGGTCGGGAGCGGTGGCTTGTTTGCCTGGCGGAGCAAACGGACACACAGTGTCTCTCTCTTTCTCTTACACAGACACACACCAAGCGCGCGCTCCAAAGACCACGCGCACCTGTAGTCCTGGCCGTGCAGTACCTCCCGTGTGCGTCGCGACCGGAAATTGGTCGGCGCCCGCCTCGCCTGCCCTTCCCTTCCCCCCGGAAGCTGGTTCCGGGGGCGCGACGGCGCGTACGCTCGTTTGTAACTACTCACCATGTAGCAGTCGGGGGACTGCAGGCACTGGGTGGGCCGCTCCGTGCTCGTGAACTGGAACAGAACAGAAAGAGTTAAATTAATGAGGGATTTCTCGCTATCGGCGGACGGTAGCCGGCCGGGCGGCCCCCCAGCAGGATAACGCGGGGGACCGGGCGCGGACCCGCCGCGCAGCGCGAAGAGTAGCGCCCGGACCAGCCGGCCGCCGGGCCCCCAGGTGATGGATAACTGCTTTTTAAATCGGAACGCTGTTGGCGCGCCCGGACGCCGTCTGTCTCTGTCGCCCACGCCGCCGCCGCTGGGCCTCTTGCGACCCAAGAGAGAGCATACGGCAGGCCAGAGAGAGAGAGAGAGAGAGAGAGAGAGAGAGAGAGAGAGAGAGAGAGAGAGAGAGATGGCCCGGATGGGTATTAATGACAGCGCCAAACTGCTTGGTAGTCGCGGTGGGCGCGGGCGCTGGAGGCGCGGGGCACCACCTCCCAGGTGAGGACGGGGCCAGCGGAGCCCGCACAACGCCGGGGGTCGCGCGCTCGCCGTGTTCCCGCCGTGTTAACACATTTGTTGTCCCTCCCGCGACCGGCACGCCTTTAGTCCGCGGCACGCCGGCCTGCTGCGGGGCTGCACAAGCAGGGCCGCCAGGGCCCCTCCCTCCCGCCGAACAATGGGCACAAGACACGGTTATGCTTTCCCGGATCTTCGCCACACCGCCGCACCGCCGACCGGCCGGGCCGGGCCGGCGCCGTGTCGCCGTACCACCGCGCGCCCGGCAACAAGGACAAGGCGCACGGCGGGGGCGTCGTCGTGGTGCGGGGAAGGACCAAAAGCATCCCGAACGGCAACCAAAAATTACGAAACATTATGTATAGCCGTCATCGGAAAAACCACCCAGCCATAAGGAGGTAAATCTGTGAAAGATGCTCATCATATTCCCCGCCTCCCGGCCGGGCCGCTGCTCCCGCCCCGCGCGCCCCGCCCCGGCAGCCTGTCCACGCTGCGCGGCATAAATTAGGCCTGCATGCCATTAGCATACAACACACACATATTGCCGCCCGCGCCCTGCCACACCGCGGCCCCGCGCCAGCCGCGCCACGGAACCACCGCTCCGCCTTTTTGTCGCACTCTTTATGTCGGTTCCACTTGCGCGGCCGCCCCGCCACGCCCCGCCCTCGGTAGAGTCCATTCCCTATATTCTGGCAGAGCGGCTAGGCTTTGCTTTCCGGTCGTCTTTGTTAGGCTCATAAACACCGTGGTCGAAGGGACGATACCCAAAAGTTAGAGTGGCCACCTCTCCGAGCCGAGCCTGGGCGTGCGCATTGTCTTTGAGAGAGGATACCCACGCAGGTCGGGAGGACGGGTGGACACTCTACATCGGCAGGTCAACCCTTATAACGCACCGGAACACACCCTGCTGATGGGTTACACAATGACTGAATGGCATTGTCTCGAAAGCCTTTGCTCGCCGCTCTGCCAGAATATAGGGAATGGACTCTACGCCCGTGGTGGTGGCGGTGGTGGTGGTGTTGGTTATGCCGTGTCCGGTGCCATTGTCACGTCGCCCCCCTCCTGTCCCCCCGGCACCGGTGCGAGTGTGAGAGAGAGAGAGAGGACGGCGTCGACAGAGTGCGAGGGAGAGAGACGCTGGTCGACACGCGCGCGTTTGGTTTGGTTAGGCCCCGGGTCCATGACAACGCCGCGCTGCCTGTACTGTACACACCCCCAAAAACTTGCGCATATTTAATCATTTCCATTACCATTCCAAAACGGCTACAGCACCAATTTCATCAAGCGCCCGCCCGCGTCCCTCCTCCTCCTACCACCGCGAGGGGGAGCAGCCAGGATGAGGGCCAGGACGACGAGGACGACGGCGACGTCCGTGTAAAATCTCGGCTAATTGGACGTCGTCCGGGCGTGATAAGGGTCGGACATCATATGGGCACCCGAGGGAAGGCCGCGCCACACACGACCGCATCGCCAAAGGCCTCTCCCTCTCCCTCTCCCTCTCCCTCCCCCTCTCTCTCTCTCTCTCTTTCTCTCTCTCTCTCTTTCTCTCTCTCTGCGGTCGACTCGGGCGAAGAGGCAGTTTGGAGGCGTAAAGGAGCCAATACCCTCTACACCACTGCGCTCGCCACTCCGAATGGAGGCACGTCCGGAGAAACAATCTGTATAGAAGTGGGTACTACCCACTCGTCTCTCGCCATTTCCACCACGTCCCGTAATCGATTGTCGACGAGGCGCGAGCATGAGTATCATTGCTGCACCGATGGGAGAGGCGGGGGTCCCGGGGGGGGGGGGTGAGAACGAACGAGAGAGCGGGAGAGGGGGAGAAAGAGAGAGGCAGAGGTGGGCGTCATCCGTCTGGTCGTCCTTTGTCATGCACATAAGACAGCCGCGTCGCGCCGTAAGTCTCTCTCTTTCTCTCTCGCTCTCTCTTTCCCGCTCATGTCAGCTCCGGCAGCGGTCACAGTCACCGGCTGAGGGCAAGGCCAGGGCCTCACAGCACACACACACAGCCTGCTCTGGCACAGTCAGGCCGCCAAAGCCACAGACTTACCAACGTTTTGAGTCCTGACCGAATGTACTTGTGGGACCGGCACACCTTTCCACCCTCACAAGTGAATACGTAAACTGACAGCGGGGTAGATAAAGGGTGTCCAGAAGACGGGCGGGTCCGGGCGGGCCGGGGCACCCGGGCACACAAATAGATTTCAAGACAATCTCTGATACGCGTCCGTCACGTCCGACCGTCCACCGTAAACTGAACATCCGTCCGTCTTTCCTTCCTCTCCCCCGTCTCTCTATTTGACCGTACAAACTCTCCTGCTGCTCGATACTCCTGTGCGTGCGCAAGCCAGCCTGCGAGCGCATCTCTCACACTATAATTTTATCCCGAGCAGCAGCACCGGGCGCGTTCAAGAAGTGAGAGAGGGGAGGAGGGAGGGCGGGAGAGAGAAATGCCCGCGGCGATACATGGGCTTGCTGCCCGCCTGCCCACCGCGCCACCGCCGCGCCTCTAACACAACAAAAATGGGAAACAACAAAAAATAATAAAATCTAAAAGCAACAGGCAGCAGGAGCCTTTTAACAAAGTCGTGCGCGCGCGTATGGTAAGGGCTTTTCCGATTGCCCCAGAAAGTGGTGTATATGCACTCGCGTGAGTGTGTGTGTGTGTGTGGGTCGGTGTGTGCGTGAGGATATCTAACCCTGCGGCCTGCGCAGCTATATGGGCTCGGTCGTAATAAATTGTCAGGATATTAATGAGAAAAAGATTTAAATGAACGCGCCACGGAGAGCAGCAGGCAGCCAGCAGCAGCAGCCGGTTCAGATAAGGTGCACGGAGTCTCACTGAAATGCCTCGATTTGGACCACCACGGCGTGGCGGGGCGTGGCGGGGCGTGGCGGCCGGGCACGACGTCGCGCTGCCGCGGCAGCTTCCTTGGAGCATTCAGTCCGAGAGACTGGCTGGACGTAACGGTGTGAACAAACGAGACACTATCTTCCATTACCCGAAAAAAAGGGACACGGAGGAATGTTTATAACGACAGGAAGTCAGACGGTAGCCCGGACTGGACAGGCGGGGCGGGGCAGGGCGGGGCTTTGAAAGGTGTGGGACAAGCCGGCCAGCAACGCATCAAGGCGCGAGTTTTCGTGAATAAAAAATGGCTTCACTTTCCGATATCATCTACGTTCCTTCCGTCGCTCAGGCGCGCCGGCCGGCAGCCCCTTCCCCCCTTCCAGGCCCGCTGGCTCCAGCCGGACCCGCCTGGACCGCTGGAGGCTGGGCGCTGGAAGAGTCGCCGCCCCGTGTACACACCCGCGTGCACACAGTGGCCACCGCGTCAACTTTGACAGGCCGTTGTGGGCCGAAGCTGGTGCGGAGGGGGAGGGGAGTCACCCACTCCGTCAGTCAAACGCAAAGAGAGAGAGAGAGACAGCAAAAGAGAAAAGAGTACGATTCCATCGGCTGAATTAATGGCACGGTATTATTATATGTATTCTTACGAGAGCGAGTGTGTGTGCGCTGCGTTCTGCTGAAAATAAATGAGCATAATCTTCCTCTGCAGCAGAAAGCGGCCCGCCGTATCGCACCACTCTGACGTGCTCGGCCGATGGAGGCAAAAGTTTTGCTCGCCCAAAAATCTCTGTTATTTCCGTTCTCTATTCCTCTCTTTGCCCGTCTCTCGTTCCTTCTCTCTGCCTTGCCTCCTGCCTCCCAACCCCCTCTCGTAGAGGCATCCTCCTGGCAGTGAGCAAGATGGAGTGCTGCGGGCGAGATGGCGAAGGGGCGCCCGAAATGTATGAATCAAATAAACCGAGGCAGGAAACTGCGCGGAGTAACAAGACAAATAGGAAATAAAACGGCGAAATTAAGAAGACGGGCGCCAAAAAAAACATCTTCTCAACGGGGCCTTCCCTCCAAAATACTGTACCAAACGAAAAGACGTCACACAGCAACAAAACAAAACAATACAGTAATGAAAAGACGTGCTGCGTTTGGCCAGCGGGCAGCAACACGGCCCGCAGTCGCCTCAATTAAACGGTTTCAATTACCATCTGTCATTTGGGAGCTCATTTGAATGTCAGATAGAATGTTTATGTAGCTCTGCTGAGCTCTCCGCGGCCAGGCGGCGGGCGGGCGTCCCGCCCTCGCGGCCAAGCCCAGTGTTTGGACAGGCTGCGGGGCGTGGCGGGGCGTGGCGGGGCGTGGCGGGGCGTGGCGGGGCGTGGCGGGGCGTGGCGGGGCGTGGCGGGGCGTGGCGG